ATTCAGAGCGCTTTAACTTTTCCACACCAGTCTGAGCTTACTGGGATCAGACCACAGCAGAAGTGAGAGCTTCATGTCTGATCTGAAAAGTGCGGTGTGCAGGCCTTCTGGAGTTTACCTCTACCTGCTGGAAACTTTTCTCTGTTCTGCTGAGTAAAACATCTCCAGCTCACGGAGGCTGCAGTCTGGACTTTGTTGGAGACAAAACGTCTGGACATCATTTTATAAATACATTTTATTCACTGAAACTAAGGATGTCAATTTCTTTTTTATTCATTTAAAAATAAAAAATTTCTCTTTTACCAAACAGGCGATTATGAAAAGCTGCCAGATATCCAAAGTTTCATGTTTTCTAGAATCGTTGCTAAAAGCATCAACTCTCCGTTTCCTGTTTTAATGGGCAGAAAAAACAGAAGGACATTCTGAGGCCTGGGGTTAAAGGTCAATGCCCTTCTTCTCTAACACTGAAAATGCTGCTTTGCAGGTTTAAATCACTTCATGTTTCTGTGTGGGGGTCAAAGGTTGAAGGGTGTGTGGACAGACAGGGGACAGGGTGGACAGTCGTCCACAGGAACTCACGCAGGCATCCTGCTGCAGGTTGTGCAGGAAGTGCTTGGAAGGAAGCAGGAAGTGGAAGAGGCAGCGGAGGCCGTCTCCACGGTAACAGCTGTCCACCACAGCGAGGACCTGAGGCAGCAGGGTGGGGGCCGAGGCCTGGAAGGGCGGGTAGACGGCGGCCAGCGCCTTCTGGACGCACACGTCCAAAGACTCAGAGTCCTGCAGGAGACAGAACAGGGAGGACATGTGGACCTGGACCGGACCAGAACCAGAACCAGAACCAGAGAGGAGAGGAAGAGAGAGAGGAAGAGGAGCACGGCGGACCTCCCATTCTGAGCTGATTATGACTTCCTCCTGTGGATCAATAATTGATCAGTTAGCAGGAGGTCAAAGGTCAGAGCAGCTGCTTTACCCACAGCAGGAACACAGAGAGCGCCCCCCACAGGCCCAACTGAGGGTTCTGGTTCTGATGGCCTCCAGGAGAAGCTGACCTTGGCGGTCAGGTCCGTCTGCAGCGCGGCGTCCTGATGACGGGCTCCAATGTTCCAGCAGGTGAACTGGTTCTGGTTCTGGTTCTGGTGGTTTGGATGGATGCCCGCCGGGCCGTGATTCATCCTGATGGCAGAACCGGTTCCTGCAGGGCGGGGAGCAGCAGGTCCACATGTCCCAACATCAGTCTGCAGGACAGGAACTCTGATTGGCTCGGATCCGGGCTCCCTGCTGGGTCAAAGGTCACGGCTCCCTAATGAGGAAACCTCAGGAGATGTGACCTCTGGACCTGCCAGAGAGCAGCGAGGGGGAGGAGGCGCCTTCTGTCCTCTGGATGAAAGCAGCTCGAGCTTCTCCAGAAAAACATGGCCGACGTCGCCATGGAAACATAGCACTGCATGCTATGCTAGCTTAGATTATGCTAGCAGGCAGGAGAGGGTTCAGTAGTCAGAATGAAACCAGTGAATCTGAAGTGACTCCGAAAGGATGAGATCTTTCATCCACCAAACTTTCTCCTTCCTGCCTCCAACAGCTTCACAATGTTCTGCTGCAGCTGCTTAACTGGTTCCCAGTTTGGCCAACTCCTACTCTAACTACTCTAACAGAGCACAGATACAAGTTCCTGCTAACCTTCACAATAAAAGCCTGAATTCTAACAACGTTTTGCAGCTCATTAAAACCTGGCGCAGTTTCCTCTGGATGCTTGGCGTTCAAATGTTATTGAAATGTTATTTGAAAAATAAAATCCATTTCAAAAATCTAACTTTTCAATTAAAAAATATGTTTTGAGACAATGGTTGAAGCTACAATGCAGCTTTTCAAACCTAAAATGAGTTTTGAAAATGACTTAATGAACTTGGTTCTTTTCAAATTGTGTTCTACGGACTCTTCTCCAAACATCTCAGGCTGAGACGTCCTGAGGGAAGAAATATTAGAGAAAATCTAAAATGAATTTTAAAAACATCTGAAGACAATTTGAAAAATCACAATAATAAAAAAAGTAGATTTTTTTAAAAGACACTTTTAAAGCATTTTTTAAAAAAAAATAATAATTTGAGAAGATAAAANCNAAAAATCATCTGGGAAAAGGTTAAATTTATAAAAATATTTTTAGAAAAACGATTTATAAAAATTATTTGACAAATAAAATCTGAAGAAATGTTACACTGTATGTTCAAGTTCTGTAACTGGTCGCCTCAGTAAGAGCTTCAGGAGGTGAAAGGTCGTCTAGAAAGCAGAGAAGAAGTGAACGTCCCAACAGCTACACCGTCAAACAGCCAAAGCCCTGCTGCCATCACCATCGGTGAGCAGAGCAGCTTCCTGCTGTGATTACCCACCATGGTTCGGTGATGCTGCGGGCCGGCCGCGGCGTGCTGCGGCTCGTCTGGAGACGCTGCAGTTTCCTCCCAGGGATTAAAGTTTCATCTGATGTTGTCACATTCCAGAGGCGCTGAGCAGGAATGAGCGGCGCCTGCAGGCGATGCCGAGACAGGAATGTTCCTGACAGCCTGGCTGCTGGAACACTGGGACCAGAACCACCAGCCCAAGTCACAGTGAGCAGAACCAAGTTCTGATGGAGCCTCACACAGAGCCTAGGGCCGGACCGCTGGTTCAGAACCAGAACCAGGAAGATTCCTTCAGCAGATGAGGTTTAAAGCCGGGGGAAACGGGCCGTGTTCCGATCAGAGTGGGATGCTCCTGATTCTGATCCGAGTCCCAGTCTGACCCATCAGTACCGACTGCCTCACCGCTCATGTTCTAGATGCTGCAGTGACCCAATTTCTAACAGCACCAGAACCTGCAACCACCAGATCCTGCAACTTCAGGTCACCTAACGGGCTAACGGGAGCACGGGCTAACGGGAGCACGGGCTAACGGGAGCACGGGCTAACGGGAGCACGGGCTAACGGGAGCACGTGAAAATGATAGTGTAGGCTAATGGTAGCATAGGCTGACAGGGTAACAAGTAGCATGGATCCTCTCTAGTTTGATATGACTTGTTGATAATTGAGATAACGTTTTCAACGTGCCACTTGGCTTCAGATTTGTATAAAAGTTTGTTTAAACCAGAGCCTCCTCTCAGAGCTGCTCTCCTCACAGCTTGAATAAAAACCTTCATTCTTCTTCTCTTGAATCTGTTGGGATCTTGAATCTCCAATCCTTCTGGTCTGGATCTCCACTGTGATCTGATCCAGAATTAGCAGGTCCCACTGAAGCAGGTCAGAGGGCAAATCACTTCCCACTGGTGTCATCTTCCAATGTGGGGGGTTTCCCACACGGTGGTGCCGTCAGGCTTCATATTTCAGACCTGAGCAGGACCGACCCGACCCAACAAGGACTACTTCCTCCTTCTGGACCAATGAGAGGCCGGAACCGCAGAGACATCTGACCCGACAGGCAGCATGAAGACGACTTCCAGAAAGACCCACAGCGTGGAGAACACGATCCACATGGTGACCCGGTGACACCTGGTGGAAACCAGTCTGCTCTGGGTCCACCAGAACCACAGACGGGTTTCTGATAGAAACTCCAGATCCATCTTTTGGGCCGGAACCAGTGTCTGAACAGAGACTGACTGAGAACCTGAACACATCCTGGTCTGAGGTTGAACTGCCATGAATCGGACCGAAGAAGCTCCTGGGCCAGAGTTCCTGTTCCTGATCGGTTCTGGATCAGTTTGTCGGTTCTGGATCAGAGTTTTGTTCCTGGCCGGTTCTGGAAGGTGTCCAGAACTCGTTGGGCCAGTATTTACGGCCTCTATGAAAGAAATGAAGTTCTGATGGAGACCAGTTTAAACCCAACACCAGTCAGCAGACGTCAGTGTGTGATGGGACCACATGTGGTCTCCATGGTAACCAGGTAAACATCGTTCAGGAGTAAATTAGCAGATAAAACCCAGTTGGACTGAAGTCCTGTGTGGACATGAAGGACAGCCGTCCAACTGGACCAGAACTCTGGCACTCGGGTTAAACTCTGAAAATATTCAAGTGAAACCAAAACCTTCAGACACTGAAACTACGACTGCAACAAACCAAGCAGGAACTCGTGGGTCAAGCAGCTGCGACTGGCTGGTTCTGATGGGCTCCACAGTCAGAACCAGCCCGAGACCGGCTGGTTCTGACTGTGGAGCTGACCTGCAGTAACCCCGCCCTCCCGGCTGCATGAGGGCGCAGCAGTGCGGCGACGCGCCGCCGGGTTCCTCTGCATGACGGCCTGCAGATCTCTGAATGTCAACACTTTCACTTAGTCCACATCAGAGGACCGGGTCCAGAACCGAACCATCAGACCTGATCAGGAACACAGAACTGATCACCAGCAGCTGCCTTGACTCCAGCAGTCAGAATAGAACATTCTGAAGAACCCACCAGAACCCATCCAGATCAGAACCAACCCATCCATTCTGAGCTCAGATTCAGCTGCCACAACCAATCAGAACTCCCCATGGACTTCCTCACCTGTGATGTCGTCAACCTGCTCAGACAGCAGTCTCTCAGGTGGATCTCGTTCCACAGGGCTAAACTGTGGTTCTGTCAGAACCATTGAGCTCTGAGTGGACCCACATTAGTTCTGGTTCCTGTTGCGGCTCCTTGAGCAGGTCTCAGCATGTTTCCGTCAGCACTCCCAGTTTACCTGACGTCTCCATGGTAACGGCACTTCACTCTGCTCAGGTGTGTGTAATCATCAGAGTGAGTCACTGTTTTCACTTGTTCTGTTGGCGAAACAAAGAGTCACTTCAGAGTCAGGCTGGAGCCGACGCCAGGTCCAGGTTCTGGTTCTGACCAGCGCAGCAGAGACGGGACATGGGGAGGACGGCGTCAGGGGAGGATGGCCAGAGTTGCCATGGTGACAAAAACCTGAGGAGGTTTAGTTTTACTACTTTGTTCTCTTTGGTTCAGCGATACATATAAATCTAAAGAATAGACGCATCTTTACATCACTTCAATTCTTTAATTACTTTGATTTTTTTTAACCAAATTAATCACTTCTTTTGTTTTTACACCCGTCCCCAGCTGAAACCTTTGTATTCAGGTTTCTGGTACGCCTCTAACCCTGATGCACAGCTACATCGCTAACGATGGAAGCGGCTCCTCTGGTCCCACGGGGGTTAATGCCTACCTGTAAGCGATCTGATTGGACGCTGGGGACTGTTGCTCTGTTCAGGTTGTGCTAACAGCAGTTAGCATTTAGAAACTTCTAGATTGGAATCATGTTGGCAAATAAAGTTTTCACTGCAGCCCATCAAATCACAAACATCCCATAATAACCTGCCCGTCTACAGGAAGCTCTAACAGCTGGTTCTGTTCAGCAGAACCAGAACCAGGCTGTCGGTTGTGATGCTCTGGTTCTGATCCGAAGGTGCCAGAACCTCCCAGTCTGACTGGATCGGCTCAGCTGCAGGAGTCCCAGCTGACCCGCCTCCACCTGTTACAGAACTGGACCGTGGAGTGGTTCTGCTCCACCGGACCGGGTTCTGTTCGGTTCTGGTGTTTAACCTGACTTTAACTGACAGGTCCGAGTGTTCTGCTGGTCCTGCTGCTCACAGCTACACACACTCTGCTGCTCCAAGGTACACACACACCTCAGATCCAATGTTGAATTCCTAACACACACACACACACACACACACACCCTGGTGGAACCCAACACCCCCGCTGCTCCCAGTCCAGCCGCCTAGAGTAACAGGCTGTGTGTGTGTGTGGAGGCCTTACCATGCTGTCTGCAGTGTTTTGTCAGGGGAGATTACTCCAGTTTGACTCCATGATCCCAGTCTGTCCCAGTCTGTCCCAGTCTGTCCCAGTCCGTCTCTCGGAGCGTCTTGTGCCGTCAGCGCTGAGCGCTGCGCTAAGCTCCGCCTCCCAGCTGTCAGCCCTTCATGGACCCTCCCTCCTTTCCTCCCCTCTGCTGCCCCCTGCTGGCTGTGGCAGAACCTAAAACCCAAACTGGATCAGAACCTCTATTACAGACGGCCTCACCGGGTCAGAACTGCTGGAAGAGAGAGACTTCAGGATCATTTTACCTCAATAAATAAGAGCTAAATGCTTTTATTGTGAAAACTGTGTCACATGACCAGTCCAACAGAACCAGAATGAATCGGAACAGCAGGTCGGCTGCTGGTTCTGATGCGGGTCAGGACATCCATGATGTTCTGACTGGAAACCAGTGAACAGCACCAAGAAGTGGGTCAGGTTGCTCTGGAAACATTCTGCTTTAACATCACAGACTGGGACTGAACTAGGCCACTCCCAGTCAAGCAGACCAGTGCAGAGCCAGTGAAACCAGTGAAACCAGTGTTGGTTTCCATGGAGCTGCTGGGAGTCAGTGTGTGGTTTTCAGGAGCCACAGAGAAAAACGTCTTTCAGGATCTCTGAGGGGGAAACCAAGCTGCTGCAGCACAATGAGGCTGGTCGCCTCTACTGGGAGCACTGGGGTCACACAGGAGCCCGTCTGCTGGGACCAGAGAAACCCAGAAACATCCTTAAAGGAACGGTTCCTCTTCCCTCATCAACACCGTGTTTCCGGTTAACCAATCAGATCAGGAATCTCATCAGGGATCCAATCAGAATGTAGTCAAAGAAAGTCAGAACGCACACCTGAGGGGCAAGCACACACAAATTATCAGCACAAGTCCAACTGGGACAAACTGGGACA